TGGACGAGGACAAAGGATCCACGATCACGCGTTAAACGCGTGATACTGAAGGAAGAAAGAAATGGATATATATGTAAGAAGATATACGTGTGATCGCTAGGTTCGACTAGACGTGAATGATCTTAAGTTAGTATTTGTAAAACAGCTGTTTTGTTTTTCATCATACTACCTTATGTAATTCACCTGCGTACACCGTGTTGCTTTTATTATCATTCTTGTTAATCCGTCAAAAATTCAATATTCCTATCTCTTACAATATGCTGTCGGTTAAATAAATCCATAATCGACTGTTTGTCTGATCTTTCTGAAAGATAAACAATACTAAATGTATGAAAAACTTTGATTCTAAGCGATGTCAACGTTCGAATCCCGACAATACTTTGAATCCTAAATAAACGGAAGGAAGAAAAAATATTAGCTTCTACTTACCTGTTGTTACATTTCATCAGTTGCATTTATAGTTATTGCACGTTGGCCAATAGCAGAAAAAGAATAAACTTATTTCTCAAGAAGAGGCATGCGGAGAAAGAATGGAATACATATGATCGTCGTCTTCTGTGAAGATGATGGAACGATAAAGATCGTTTGCATCCTCTATCTTATCAACAAGATTATATAAATGATTGCAAGAGTCAAAGCATTGCTTGCCAGTTGTACTTGCCTCAGATCTATTCATAAACAAATTATCGGATTATTTCTTTAATTAGTCAAATACGTTAATAATTTTAAAATCTTTGCTTTAGACCAATAATATTTTTCTCATGTCTCATCGATCTCATCGATACAAAGAATTGAACGAAATCGATTCGTCGAATGTTGAATTTTGTGAATTACTAACATCATCACATACACTCGAAGAATTCTTTCCAGATGATTTATATTTGGTGTCTATATTCAAGAATTATCGAAGTCGAAAGCTTAACGAATTGACATTGTTTTGGTGTGTCTTGATTAGCTTTATGCATTGGTAATTTTTTGACATTATTACTGACATACTTTAATCATGTTTGCGTATCATTTAAGGTCTTGTGAAACGAAATTGTATGACAAAGAAAAAGCCGACTATACCACTGTGAAACTTTATGGAATTCTTCGAGGGGACTCGGGTAAATCTATTGATAGTCTTACATTGATATAGTGTTTTTATTCTTTCATTCAGTGTCGCATAAATCGGGCTACATCAAATCTATTCGAAAAGCGTTCGAGTTTGTCGAACAATATTTTCGATCCCAGTTGACAGATTCGAATAATAAATTTGTGTCAACTTGTCTTGAAAATCTTACACCAGCAAAGTTACTTGTTGAACTTGAATTATCATCAGTAAGTACAATTTTTCCAATACATTAGATAGGTTTCTATTTTGTTTGTAAATGCTAGAAATTTATTTCAAGCGACGAAGATCATCCTTTGACTGATTTTGCTTTCTTCGAACCAAGCACACAAAAAGCAAAGGAAGCACAGCCATACTTAATTTCGGCTTTTAACGGTGCATACAAACTTCAGAAATCCACCATGACATATTCCAAAGATATTCGTGATAAAAGTCTTACAATGTTAATTCCAACTACCGGTGATCAATGGTCTTCATTATTGGAACATTTTTGTGATTCAAGTAAAACCAACGGTATGGCAGTTCTATCTAATATGTTTTACTACAGATTTGTTTTTCCCAGGATTGTATGAAAGAATATCATATTGGGTTATCGGGAAAAAAAACTTTGTTCACGAAGAATCATTGTTGAATGAAGACTTGCCATGTCTGGAGTATTTATTCATCACAAGAATGTTAATTGGTAACCGTGTTTATGAATATGATCAAGACGCCAGCAATTATCTTCGACCAATTCTACACAAAATGCGCTCCAACGGTCCAACCTGTGATGGATTATTTAATATTCCAGAAAATAAACGTGCCGGTAAATATCTGTTTTGATCAAGCTTTTTATTATTACACCCTTAATTGTAGAATCATGTGAACGACGAGGAGCTGATTTAATTGAACGTATTGCTGTCATCATACAAAACATTTTCGACACATTGAAAGTACTAGAATCGGTCAAATCAATTAACTTTCATTGTATCAAAAAGGATACATTGAATGAAATTAAAATCAACATTGGCAATAACTTTTATCCAAATGAAATGTTAAGGTAAGTGCATTCTTTAGTTAATAATTGAAAACGTAAGATTTTTTTCTTACTCTCTCTCTCTCTCGAAAGTCAATTTTTGTTTCATCTCTTAGTTGGGAGTTTAATCTATTGTTTCAATCTATTAATTCATCAACGTATTCATATGCGAAACAGAAATTTATTTATATAGTTCATTCGTTGATAAGTGAGAAATAGAAAATAGAACTAGTTTAAATAGACTGTTAGGTAGCATATACTCAACTGAAACAAGTTGAAAAAGAGTGAATTCGTGTTGGCATGTTGAATGATGATTATGAGATATAAACTCATTGTCTGTTAGAAGAACAACTCAATTCAAATTCAGCTTCGTAATTTACTTACATTCATAACAGATGCAACATTTTGAGTTTGATTTGAGCGAATATTTAATATCCAGAACAATGAGTAGATTTAGATTTTTACCTAACCATTTAATTCTATGAAAAACGTAATCTCTGTTCAGAGAAGCAGCTATGAACTTTTGTTTTCATTCATAGCCAAATGGAAAACAACTTACTTTATCCTGAAGGTGTTGACTTAAAGGAGTTACATGAAGTACAAATCTCTAGTGTGGACAAACAACCATCTCAATCAATGAAGGTTGGATTGCCAGCTGTTAAAATTGCTGTTAGTTTTTTCCACAAGTTGTTATTACCACAATCGATTCAATTGTTTTCCGCCGATTCGATCGATAACAAAAAAAACGTACTAAATGAACTAAAAATTATTCAACATCCGATGAATTGCTTCTCACTCAGCGATCTAACGTATGGAAGTATTTTCCATAGTAAGAATCTTTAACAATTAAATGTAAAATTGCAATTTTTTTTCATAGATCATAAACGTGATCACATCGATGTGAAAGAAATACTCACAAATTTGGAGAAAAAACGTTTTCTTAAACATGGAAAATTTGTCAAAAGTTCTTTTCGATTAATCGAGAGTTGGATTAAAATGCTGCCTGATCCAACAAATGACGAGCAAATTGAAGATTTTCGAAATAAGCTAAATTCGAATTATCAACTTGATTTACAAAAATATCTTGATTACTACAAGCATGGTGCTAATAGTAAATCTTCATTAACTGAAACTAGGGGTGACACTTTAACTTTAACTTTACTTTATCAAAGTAGGTAAAGTTTAAAGTAAAACTTTAACTTTAAAATTTTAAAGCAAAGTAAAGCACTTTAACTTTAACTTTAAAGTTAAAGTAAAATCACTTTTCAACTTTACTTTAAAAATCAAAGTTAAAGTTAATATCTTAAAATGTGCATTTTGATTCTCACCATTTAGTTACTCAATATAATNGAGGGTGAGGGTGAGGGTGTGGGTGTGGGTGTGGGTGGTGAGGGTGTGAGTGTGCAAATTAGGGAGTATCAGTAATGTCTTGTCGGGGCACAATGTGACCATGGACATTTTCTTTTAGCGGCTATTTGTTTGGATTACACTTTCTGCCTACGATTGTTTATTCGTGCAAGTTTTCTCAACAATAATTTGTGCGCGACCTTTCATTCGGCTGCATTGTGTCTTATCGCTCTATCTTTTCACCTACTCATGACATAGAATACGTCCATGGCAGCTTGAGCGATATGCATTGTTTATTGCCGTCTATAAAAGCATCTGTTTTGAAGTGGAATAGCAGTTCGATACGTGAATAAATGAAATACAGTTTATCTTTGTCGAATATCAATTCTCACCTAAAGTTCGTTACAATAACATCTGCTCAATTGATGTAAAATGGTTTGCTGATGATCTTTTCTTTTATTCATAGATGAATTTTACTAATGGTATCAATAATATCAATGACGATGAATTGTTTCTGGTTTCATTAAATCGGCGAATACCATTACAACATTTGAATTTGATGTTTCTTCTTGATTCTAAGTTGGATGAACTTATTTCGTTGAAATATGATGATATATCGAACATGGTTCAATTGACGTATGGTGTAAAATATGATGGCTCAATGGTGGAATCTATTTTAAACTTATTGAAATCCGATAACATCTCGTCACATCTATTTTCATCACACAATGTCGATAAAATAATCAGTAACTATTCCAGAGATCATCATTTTCTTACAAAGGCATCATTACATACTATAAAACCATTTACACCATCGTGTTTACATTGTCACCTCCCATTGAAATTACAATTCAAAGAGAAGATTAACGTTTTTCTCATGGACCATGTGGATGATGGAGTTATTTTTGCTGCTCGTTGTTGTCATATAGAATATCATACGAATAGTTACATAAAAAATTCAAAGCGTTACGTTCTTCGTGAATCTTTGTACAACCAAAAATATATTCATTTTGGTGGTAAATGCGTTCTTCATATTGATGTTTTATTACGATATGTGTCAGACTTGATCAATATGGTAAGTTAAGGATATTATAATTAACTTCGTATATCATACATAAATATTCATTTTGAATTAGAGAGAATTCCTCTAATATCTTATCAAAATCTGTTCACTATAAAGTTTTATTATAGTACGCCGGCTTCGAAAATTTTTGTGGTGCTTATAACGATACAATAACGTCAGTGTCAATGCAACATAATTGGAATAATGCTTTAGAAATAGAAGACATACCATTGCTGGAACGGCGACTATTTGAAAATATCTGGTTAATTTACTCAACACCATTATTGAAGTTCTTTTTGTCAACAGATACAGAAATTGAAATTCCATTTCATATTAGCAATCGTGAAGAACGAAATCATTTTTTTGCTTCTCATTTACCTCAATTAGAACGTGATTTTGTTCTGTATTGGTCAAACCATATGGTGAAATTTAGTTGTGGTAGTCAATGTTGTAAAGCCATTGTTATTGATGGATTCCAAAAGCCTGATCGTTATATTTGCAACTTTATGCAAGAGTTGATTCATTCGGAAGAATTGGGTAAGATTTTTTGTAAATAATTTTGAAGTTCTTCTCATGATATTTTCAGGTGATATTGAATGGGGTTGTGGATTTCGTCCAGAAATGGTCCCAGATAAACAAAATCCAGGGTTTTGGAAAAACACAAAATATTGTCCTAAACATACTTATCTCGAGCACACTCAATCAGCACGTTGTTCAACTGAAAAAGATGATTATAATGTTGTCGACTGTAATGTTTCAAGGTAATCACGAATATAAAAAAAATAAATTGCTCATTTTTGTGTTGAAATAGAACCGATCGTTATTGCGGTCGTCAAACATCCTATGGAGTTATACTCACAATGTACAATTGTGGTATCATCGTGAATTTTGACGAACTCTATAGATCTGAATCACCTACACGAGTACTCCATCATTTATTTACAACAATTGATTGCCTGTCACCATCTGTGTAAGTATTAACTGCGTACTTTGTATTCATGTGAGTCCTGCACAACGCTTTTTGCCCATAGCTCATTTCCTAAGTATTTGATTTATGATAATGCATGTGGCTTGTTACTTACATTCCAAAATCGTCTTGAAAACGGTCAGATCCATCGTACAACGCGCGCTAAAGCATTGTAAGGTCACATCACTAATTTCATACATATATGTCCATGTATTTTTATTGATAGAAATAAAATGACGTTTTTGGTCGACAAATTTCATATCGGCAATCATACGAGGCCAATGTGTCAAACGCAAACGAATCCATACAAATATCCCGAGGTCAATCAAATAAACACAGTTGTCTGTGAACAGACCAATTCTAAATTGAAAAAGTATCAAAACGCACTTTCATCTTTTTCTTTCCCAAAAAGTAAGGTTTTCTACTTGTTGTTGTTTAATTTCATGAATTGCAAGAAAAAAAACATTTCGATATACGGCTGTCAACGCTAATATTTCAATTTCTTGCGTTTTCTATGTTTGTCATAGCTTTCATACAATAAATCAAGCTTTTTCATATCTAATACTCAACCAAAAAGTTACAAAAATTACTGCAGCATAAAACTGCTCAGAGAACAATTGCTGCGCAAAGCCACAAGTGAGGGTGTGGGTAAGGTGTCTGTGACGGTACGGGCATGTGTGCTTCGGAATGAAAATCATTGTGGATTAGCAAATGTTTGGAACGAAGTTAGAGTTCAACACAATCAAGAATAATATTTCTTCACGAACCCGTACAAGCGTAATCGACCGCGAAATGAGACTCTTTTCTTGATAACATTAATTACAAGTAACGCGGCTTAGTAGCCGCTGACCCTCTACTGAAAGCTTCTTATCCAATAGCATGTACTTTTGAGGAGAAATACTACACAGGGCAAAACGTTCTGCAACAATTTCACCCACATATTAAAGCGTTGCAGAACGTTTTGCCCAGTCTAGAATTTCTCCTCAAAAGTACATGCTATTGGATAATATCCTTTCAGTAGAGGGTCAGCGGATATTAAGCGGCGTTACTTGTCAGATGTTTATGTATAAATCCACTCATATTCCTCAACTCCCCACAACACACAGACATGGGTATCGAGCTGGATACACCAAATCCACTCATATTCCTCAACTCCCCACAACACACACACATNCGTGCATCGCACAATACGACAACTTCAATTATAGCTCTTTATGCAAAAGAGTTACTGAAGCTGATTTCTGCCTCAGAACTTATTCAAATTTCGTCTCTCTGTCTCTCTCTCCCTAATATTCATTCTACACTCCAGCTATTCATTCATCGACCTCTTTCTCACTATCACGTCATTTCATACCTTATATCCTTCAAATTCACCCACCCTCAACATTTATCTTAATTTTTTGAGATCCTGTAACGCTATTGATGAGTTTCGCAGATTATCTGTAGCATTCACCGAACTATTATAGGCGCAGAGATCACGCGGATTGATATCCTTGAGCGCTCAGACGGCCTTCGGTCGCCTTCGCTATTGATTTCGTCCACTTCTAAAATCCTGCAATCCTATTGGTCAGTTTCATAGATTGCCTGTAGCAAACGTCTGGTTCATTTGTTCTCGGAACAAAGTAGATGTCAACCTTCCTCTGGATCTCAGGAAGTATTGTGGAAAGTTTCACGCCGATAGCTACTACAGGGACTGAATGCATAGCGAATAAACAGACAGACAGACAAACTTTCTTCTTTATATATATAGATGTTGAGATTAATTGTTTTTTCTTGATCTTTTCAAAATATTTTTAAAAAGTTGTTATTTGCCATCGATAGTACTTTATTTACTAATTGAAGTACAAATCCTAACAATCCAATAAAGAAAAGTACAAGCCCATGTATAATAATTAGGTAGCGACGAATTGTCGTAGCGCCGATTTTGCCGCAAAATCAAATTTCCCATGAACTCAAAATTCTATCCATATTCGATCAAATATTATAATCACGATTTTCGAATGAAAAAGTTAGTTTAGTTTACTTTTTAATTACAAAACCATGTACGAAACTGAAAAAAAGTATTAAGAACGATCATTTCGTATAACAATTTCTCATTCAACTTATCAAAAGAAAATTATTATTTTAACTACCAATCTGACACTAAACGTATTGAGTTTATAAATGTAAAATAACGTAGGAGGTAGAGTTAATTAGAAAGAAAATGAAAATCTATATATTCCATCAGCGGAATAAAATACCGCCAGCAATAGAATAATAACTTATTTGTAAAGTATGACGAGGAAAAGACAAGTAAACAGCCTCATCTCTCATTTTAATTTTCGCTATTTTTTTCTTAACAGCAACTTCAACATTATAATTTTTTAAAAATGTTTGTTTGTAGTATTTTCTTAAGCAATGAGTTATGAAGGGAAGAAATGGCGTCATTCTAGCGCAGCATTCAAGAGAGTGCTAGAAAAAAAGATATAATTATTTAAAGTATAATGATTTAACCAGTATTGAATAAATACTAGGCTGATATTATAAAAGAACAATCGTTATTCTTTGTACGAAAGAAAAAGGAATGATATATTAGATGTGTCAATCAAATAAGTTGATTAAGCAAAAGAAATTATTTTCCAGTAAATACATTCTCAAATCCTCGCAATTCAATAATCTCCCTGGACTTCTTTGGTTTTTGTCTTTTAACAATATAAATGGCAGTTATAGACACAACAATAATAACTGTTAAAGGAATCGTTATTGCTAATATTGTTTTCCATTTTCCATCTTCTTTCGTGACTCCTAATGTCGTCGGACTATTCGTCGTTGTAATTGATGATCTCGAACTTGATGTTACTGGTTGTTCTGTTATTGTTGACACAGTAGTTATTTGAATTGTTGTATTTCTGGTTGAAGAACTTGTGCTTGATGATGATTCAGTCAATGGAATAGTTGTACTTAATAATGATGAAGTTGATTGAGTAGAGGTTACAGTTGTACTAGTTGTCAAAGTTAAACAATACGAGTCAATATTCATACACTGATGAGTTAATTCATCTACAATCGATTGATTCGTTAAACAAATTGGAAAACTATCCGTATCGAGTATGTTTTTAAACATGAGTACAAAACAATTACATGGGTGATTTATATCCAGTGTTAGACTTATCGAATTCAAAATTTGAAATATTGGTTTTGATAAACAGTAATCATCATTATTAAAATGAATACCATTAAGAATAATTTGTAATTGTGATGAGCGAGTACTTCTTTCTATTCCAGTATTATTTCTTGCTTGATAAAACCAAAATTGCTCTGTTTTCGGCATATGTGAAAGAGTCAAATGAGATAATGCTTTCAGTTTTGTAAATACAAACCAATTAATTTCTAATAAATTTGTACAATTTGCTAATGATAGAGTAATAAGATTCCGTGCGATGTGATCAAGAAATGAAGTTGTGATATTTCTAGGATTAAAATGTTCATCATATGTCACTTTCGTTGTTTCTAAAGAAGAAAATAAATTGGATGATAAATCTAAAAATTTCACCACTGTTTTATCGAAAGCTAATGGATGAATCGATTGAATATGATTTGAATTTAATTGAATTGTTTCAAGTTGATGACAATTTTTAAATGAATCTTCACTTAAATCTTTGATTTGATTGTTATCTAAATGTAATGTATATAAAGTCGAAAGATTTCGTATGGGATTAAAATCATGTAAGAAATTATCGTTTAAATATAGCTTTTGTAATGTTCGATTTATTGGATATAGAAATGATGTTAATACATTGTGCGGTGTTACACTTTCCAGCGAATGCAATTGATTGTTGTGTAATAATAAAGTAGGTAAATACAAATTAACAAATGCATCATGTGCAATATGTTTTATTCGGTTATAGGACAAATCAATTAGATAAACATGTGTTAAATTTGTAAAAATATTTGATTTAATTTCTTCAATAAAATTATTATGGAAATCAATATAAGTGAGTTCAGTAAAGTTGACTAAAGACGGTATATGAACTAATTTATTCGATGATAAATTTATTGCAGCTAATGCTTTAGATGCTAAACTTTCAATAAGAAAATCAACATTCGTTAATGAACAATTACGTAATTGAATTTCTTTCCATGTCAAAATGGATGATTGATTTAAAGCTAATTGCATTTCTTTTGAATTTAATATATTTATTTCAAAGATATTTGTATGATCAAATGCTTTTAAATTCAATTGATATGAAAGATTATGAAGAGTATTAAATTGTATATCATCTATAACAATTTGAACATATTCCATTTGACTAAAAGCATTATCAGCAAGTTGAAAATTTCTTGGTGAGTTAAATCTTATATATATCTCTGTATCGTCAGAGTAATTCAATGATTGAAAGGTATTTTCAGCTATTTCATCAATTCCATTTGTAAAATTCAATCTGAGTACTGAAACTGAAGAAAATATTGATGAAAAATGCGTAAAGGTCGAAGATGTTAAACGCGTCAAATTGATAAAATTAAATGAATAATGTTGATCTGAGGAAAATGTTGACCAATCGATGAAACTATCGTTGCTAGAAGAGTTTTCAATACAAGTTACTGGACCGTGAAAATCTTCACAATAACAAGTTATGAATGAATTGTTTAAACATATTATTTGTGATGTAATAAAATTTATTATTAAAAATAGAAGAAGAAGAAGAGAAAAAAAGTATTTTACTCGAAACATCGTTGCATAAGTAAATGAATTCTATTGTAAGCATTTCATCAGATCTTATCTATTATAAAGCAAGCTTTCTTATCAATTTTCTAATGACAAAACATTTTTTTCTGCTTAGACATGATATTCTTTAGGTGCTATTACGCAAAATGGATGATTGAAACAGAATTGATAAACACTTTATATTTTTCTAACAAGTAACTTGAATTAAATGAATAAAGCAATTTCGAAATATGTAGGATATATTGGACACCGATTTGACCTTTTCTTGAACGGATTCGCACACGAGTGTATTCCAAATCTGATCACATTTGTTCCAGGTGGAACTCGGTGAGCTCTATCTATTCTAAAGAAATATTCCGGGAAATACCCTCGTTGCCCATAAAAAATGCAAAAAATTGCAAAAAAGAAAACTTAGAAAACATGAAAATTTCCGAAAAACACGCACGGATTTGTTTCTTCGCTTCCGGGTACCATTCCAACACTTATTCCGAGATACAACTCGATGAACTCTATCGATTCCAATCATACAAAATTTTTCACCCACCTCACCCACGCCCATCTTCGAGTACGTTTTCTTCCATCGTTATAAATATTATCATAAATATTTTTTTTGCAGAAAATTCCTTCTCATGAACGAAATGACGAATGCGACACACATTTTCTTGTCGACAGATAACAGAAAGGGAAACAGCAGAATGCAAATAGTCCAATTTCTAGGAAACTTGCTTGAAATGCTCAATCTTTCTGTACGAAAACACATGACCATATAATTGATTTGGTTGCAGTTATCAAATGTGAAAATCGGAACTACTTTAATATGAGAAATGACAAGGTAATTTCAAAAGTATTTTGATTGAAAATGAATAAAGTGGATTGAGAGTTTTGTTGTAATCAGATCAAGAAAACAGATGATGTCACAGAAACTCTATTGTATTATCTCGCGTCGACCTGTTATGATGACTATTTATCATCATGTAGTATGGTAAAATTATATTTTTTTAATAAAGATCATGAAACAAATAGAGAGACAAGAAAAGTTTTCAATTCATTTCTGGAAGCAAAATGAAGATTAAATCGATAAAAAAATTAAAATAACGGTCGAAGAATTAAGCAGGGGCCTGAGCAGATGAATTAATTGGTGGAAATAATATGTCGAACAATATAGGATCTTCATCTTCATTTTCAAGATGGTCATTCGGTAGATCTTGAGCATCAATTGCAATTTGCGTGTCGATCCTTGTTCCAAATTCTTTTACAAGTTCCATGTAATGCTGCTTAGCAGTATGATTGAATCTATCGGCATCTGCTATACAGTTGAGGCGACGAGCATTTTCGGCAAGAGACGAATAATATTGAATAATTGTATGACGAAGATATTCAAGTAGTTGAGGTTCTGGAAAGATAAAACGAATCTTTCCATTCGCAGAATATGAACTTCTTTCTCGATGAGCAATCATTCCGTTGTCAAAAATGTAAAGAATTACGTGATTATGATGTTTCAATGTAGGTAAAAGTGTTTGTGCACTTTCGGTGGATTAGAGTTTTATTTCCATATTCGCATGGGAACCAACGTACTGAATACAGTAGTCTTTGTCTGTAAAATATATGAAGCCATCGGCGAAAACATCTCTCATTCTCACATGAGACTGCGAGGAATCAAGAAGAACAGTGGTCGTCTCTTCAAACAAACGTGCAGTAGTAAGAGGATGTCTTTCCCCTGTATCGGGTATGCGATCTGCGCAAAAACGGAGAAAAATGCACGAGAGAGCGATGATATAAATTATTGCGTTGAGTACAAGATCACGATATTGGTACGTTCGATAAGCAGCCAACAAAGAAAATGTAAGAACAACATTGTAAATGACTCTGGTTGATGATGCTAGAAATCAGACAAAAAATTATAGATCTTTTTTGTATTGAACAGCAAATTCAATAATGAGTTTTAACTTTTTACTTACAATGTGGAGCTACTGACATTCCAACTGTGGATAAACTATCGTAACTATGAACTTCCCTCATTGCCTTTATCTGAAGATTTAATTCTTTGATATGTTCAGTATCGTAGATTTCACTACTTATCTTCACATCTGTTATATAAAAATAAAAATAACAACGGATGGTGAGAGAAAACAAGACTTACATAACATTATTATAGTGAGCAGATAGACAGTCGTTAGAACTATTATAATTGACCATATGGAAGAGTTTCGTTGAGTTGATTTATACAATTGCTAAAAATACGCTTGGAAAATTATTTTCGTCTGGATGACCCTTGACAGCAACTGTAAATGAGAACGGCGCTTAAGCCATTATTTCAAAAAGTTTTGTTTATCGACTATTCTGTATGCGACGGCTCTTTTCGTAGTTCTCGCTGAGTTGTAACTATTTCGAATAGTTGAGTAAGTTTATTTTATTCATTTGTTTACGAATTAAAAACAAAAATTTATATACACACTTGTTATTTCAAAGTTCCTCTAGACTACCCGTCTTAACTCACGTTCGCGAAAAGAGAAAATGACAATATTTACTGCTGAAACGTAAATGTCTTGTCTTTCTACAATCTACTGCTCAAATATAAGTCAGAAAAGTATGAATTCAACTAAGATTTACTAAATCAGTTTTTATTCCAAATATACTGAGACACCTCTACAGAATGTTGCCGTTGGAAATGGAAAATAGCGTCAGTCGGTTAGACCTCTACAAACTGTTTAAACAGTATAAAAACATTAAGTTTCACCTGTTTTCGATCTTTCTGAAGTGTCATCACACAGGAATTTGAAGAATGATCGACTTTTGACCTGGACCATGCGAAAGGCTCATACATCGACATTTTTCGTTTCTTGATATATTGATCCATGTCTCTAATGATTTTGTAGTCCCGAATACATTATAATGGATAATTATTTCTGAACACATTCTTTATCCTAATGAATAATTCAAGATTTCTTTGTTTTTAATCGGTTGTGTTGGATAATGATCAGTATGAATCTCAATTTACTGGACAATTGTATGGCGAAAGAGAAGTTGAAAAATGACGAGTTGTTAATGGTTATCAATCCTAGAGATCGAATATCGGCGTGGTCCGATCTTGTTTTTACTGCAGATGCTAAAGATTCAGAGACACGATTAGTCGGATGGGCTGTTTTGCTGATATTGTTGTGGTGCATTTCGTACTCATACGAAGATCGATGATAAAGGAAAAACGAAAAATCATGGTCTTATATCCTGTATCAAACATTTGGAACAATGCTGTTCTCGAAAAGAGGAAACGGCTGAAATTACTGAACGAAATTCTTCTTTCGATTCTAGTTCATCAAATTCAAAATCCTCAGTTTCACAATTCCTCACAAACAAAAAGAAAATTTCTCCAACTTGGTTAAAAAAGTTGAAAGAAGCTGAAGTTAAATCTCCCGTGGAGGTAAAATATAGTGTTAACAAAAGTTCAAAACAATGGTTTGTTTTCTGTATAGGTATGCATTCTTTTAAAAGTGTTGAAGATATTTGTCTTCAAAATCTTGCTCAAACATACATTGACATAGGTGCTCGATGTGATAAAATCGATGTTCGTGATATTTGGTATCCCTTTCACCACGATGGGGTCCGCCGGTGGACCCCGCTATATTTTAACAAGAACTTGGATAAAGAAATACTTTTCTTTCGTTCATTCTTAGACGGTAGGTTATGTATAAGTTACATTTTGCTCTGCATTTACTATCTGTCAAATCGTTTATTGCACATCGTGTTGCTGCTCACTAAAACAATGAAGACCAAAAACATTGTGAGAATCAGGACAGAAAGTTTTTATTCTCTTTGTCATTGCATGCAATGCTTCTCTTGATTGTTTTCCCTATTTTTCGTGTAACAGTTACCACAGTGTCTTGGGACATGTCGATCAGACCCTTTCTTTTCTGTGAGCTGATGATCCGCGAGTCTGCGTTTCGATTAACTTGTTGAACGTTCTTTCGGATAGCATTTTAAATTCTCGTATAGCATACTAAGAAGTAGAGATCGCACAAGACTTTCATAAAACGGCAGTATTGTCATGTGACTTGTGTCAAAATTTTCTTTGTAAATCAGATAAGCATTCACTATCGACATTCACAATATCATCTCAAATGCGACCTTTTGATACCAGTTTTTAGGCCGTCTCAGACATGTGTAGTATGTTAATATCTGATCAGATAAACCTATACCTTGTTTTTCTTTAATGGCTTACATCGTTACCTTCATGCGAATGAAAATAATGAGTAAAAGATAGTATTACGAACAGAATGTAAAGGAATAGCTAAAATTTCGATTCTTTATTTTCATAGTTAATATACAATACATGTAACACAACAGATTTGAGCGACTACTCAGTTTGATGCGATAAAACACCTACCGTGCGATGATACAAACAACATAAAGAAAAAAAAGGCTGTACATTCTGAAAAATAACAATAAGCGCATTTATCGAGCGTAGACGCGCATGAAAATTAACATATTAAAGCTATTTTCCTCGAAAAACCGAACCGTGGTGAAAAGTTTAATCAAAATTAAAAGCAGTTCATATGTTAATTCTTTCTGGTTAAATAGCAACATTAGCTACTACTACCCGATGTTGTTGAAACACTTTTCTTATAGTACTTTTCAATTGAGGAATACAATACACTGATGCAACACTTAATCCTGCTGTTGACGTTGCAACTGGCAACCAGATAATACGAACTGTCAGCGGATAATAATTACCTGTTATGGCAAACCTTAGGATGAAGAACATCGCCGAAAGACCCAGGGCAATTAAGAAAATAATTATCATTAGAATCCGTCGAACAATAAAAACATCTCGATCTTGTCTTTGTCTGGTCACTAATGTTGGAGTATTTGTTTGATTTCGAAGAAACAGTGTTATTCGTAGATAAATCGCCATTGTACATAAACATGGCAATAAATAAACAAAAGACCCTGTCCACATCACTACTTGTAAATTTTTAAAAGAAACATAACAAAAATGGTCATCAATTAAATATATAATTCCATTCCAAGCTCTAATAACATATTGAATACCAATTGCACACAAATATTCTGTTATAAAAAGACCAGTATAGAATTTCAAACTTTGAAAGTATCGATATCGAGGATAAACAATTCGGATTAACCGATAAAATGCCTAAAATACATTCAAATGATAATATCTTTTTCATTTTCATTATTTCTATTTACTTGATTCACAAATGCCATATACATTGCGGAAATATGAATTAAAGCAAGATATCCCGAAAATATACACCAAAATGAATGAAATGATTGTCCAGTTAAATCACCCAACAATGTTCGAATATTCATTGATAGTGTAATTGCTGCTACGATCAGCATACATAAATAAATCTGGATACAAAGATATATTGTTATTTTGTCATCCTGTTTTATACGATTATGATACCATTGATAAATAAGGGTTATTAATACTGTTGATGATATAATCATTGCAAAGATTGTAAGAGCAAATGTTATTGAAGTTAGAATAAGTCCAATGATTTTCGCTTCGTTTTGTGACATTGTTTGAAGATTTTTTAGAATGAAATAGCGAACACTATACAAAAAAATCCATTAATTTTTTCTGGAGAACAAACTTGTCAACAAATTTCTCTCAACATCATTCACGAAGACGATTTTGAAATAAATCCAGATATCTTATAATTTTTAATTACTCTCGTGTTTTTCTAGGAAGGTTGATTGATTTGGACTCATTATTTATCTCTTCCTTTATTAATTGATTTAAAAACAATAAGCAAAAGCTATAATGTGTTAGCTTTCGAAATGCGTCGCATTTCTTCTTCAGAAAAATAACGGGTGTCCCAGAATAAATGGACCTCTCAGTATTTTGGTTACAACTTTTTCGCTTCTCGCTGTCTAGAGCTGTTTGTTTTACCAAAAGATGCGCCTTGAAATTCTCTACAAAATCTTAATTGACCTCACATTTATAAAATGTCAGGAAAAACTATTAAATGAAAAATATTGAAAACATAAAAGATACCTAACTTTCAGAGCGAATAACTGTTTCGCAAGCGATAAGTATTGTTATCTATAGATTTTTTTACAAACAAATTACACTAAAAGATGTAGAGTAAAAAGTTCTGCAAGATTCATCATTAAATTTAGTGTAAGCATGTACTTTTTATTTACAAAACAATGGGTATTACTAATTTATGCTAACAGCACAAACAGCCAACTCTTCGAGATCGCATGTCGATCACTGCTACAAACACCCACACCTCGATGAGTTATGAACACAAACACCCTCAAACACCCACTTTCCTTAGCTTTTAAGAAAGATATATCCCTGACAAACTCGAAAAAATCACTTTTCTCATCACTAACACCCAACAACTCTCTTGTGGTCCCGATAAACACTAAAACTGGTGCATACAAACACCCACATAACTGCGAGATCTACATTTTTGATAGCACAAACGGTGTCCTCCCATTGAGTATTAGGGCCCTGGGTGAACATCTGGTGGGACTCATAAATGTCTCAAATCCCTGTGCCAAACAAGACAAGAACTTTTGTATTCGCCTCTATTATTTACACAATCACTGGTGAGATTGAAAGGGTAAAAAGCTGATGAGAATGAGTGGTGATATGAGTCTATGTGACTATATGTGAGTGAGGGTGTGGATGTAGGTGAGAATAGGGACGGGCACATTCATATCAGACAGAGAGTGAGTTTGGCAACTAGTAAGGGCTAATGCATTTTGAGACATAGTAGAGGCGAATACAAAAGTTCTTGTCTTGTTTGGCACAGGGATTTGAGACATTTATGAGTCCCACCAGATGTTCATCCAGGGCCTTAATACTCAATGGGAGGACACCGTTTGTGCTATCAAAAATGTAGATCTCGCAGTTATGTGAGTGTTTGCATGCACCATTTTTAGTGTTTGTCGGGACTACAAGAGAGTTGTTGGATGTTAGTGATGAGAAAAGTGATTTTTTCGAGTTTGTCAGGGATATATCTTTCTTAAAAGCTAAGGAAAGTGCGTGTTTGTGTTCATAACTCATCGAGGTGTGGGTGTTTGTAGCAGTGATCGACATGCGATCTCGAAGAGTTGGCTGTTTGTGCTGTTAGCATAAATTAGTAATACCCATAATCTTCACGTCGGTGTAACACATAATTATGAATGACAATCATCGCATCGACAGGAACATGAAGTTGAAATTTATCACTGTTATTACCAATCGTATGTTCTTTTACACATTGACGAACAAAAAAAGGAGCTGGTGGATACAAACGAAGAGTTTCATAAAGGGTGTGGGTAAGTCAGGGCAGTAGAATACTACATGAATTTTTGTACTGACAGACTCCTAGAAAAGCCTATGCAGTTTTTTAAACCTGCAAGATTGTCGATTTTGCACTAAATCGAATTGATGTGAAATACAGAAAGACAGACAGTGAATCTTGGTGAAGAAACTTCCCTTGGTAGTTCTTTTGAATAAAGCGATATAACCTAAGCTGCCGTTTTGTGCTACACACGGCCGAAAAGGTAAAGATCACACATGAAGCAAGCTGCTTAACACGTAGTATTTTCTTCTCTGTTATTCTTTAATTGTCACCGAGTGCTGCCGTTAGTTTATTAATAAAACATCATAGAATATTAGGAACTATTTCTAGTGAGCATTGTATAATAAACTCCACGCTGTTGTATTAGTTCTGCATCAGTGCCACTCTCAACAACACATCCTTTGTCCACAACAACAATCAGATCACATGAACGAATAGTGGAAAGACGATGAGCAATAATCAACAATGTTCGAGTAGGATCATCCTTTTGAGCTTGTTCAAGTGTCTGTTGTACTATCTATGAGATAAATATGTTGAACAATTTGCTCTTGTGATGTAAAAGACTAAACGTACTTGTTGATTGTATGAATCCAAAGCACTTGTTGCTTCATCTAGTAGCAATATTTTAGGTTTTCGAAGAAGTATTCGCGCAATCGCGATTCGCTGTTTTTCACCACCTGATAAGAAACTACCTTTCGATCCTACTTATGTTTCATAGCGCNTTTTTTCTTTCCTTTCGTTTCGTCAACATATAATAGTGATACAGGAGACAAGACGGTAATAATGACTAGGTTAGATTTGAAATCTCTCCTGTATCACTATTATATGTTGACGAAACGAAAGGAAAGAAAAAACGAAGAAAGAAAGAAAGAAGAAAAATATTTTCAGTCAAAGTAAAATCAATCATGTACAGTTGTATTTGTCTGAAGAAGAAATGCGACGCATTTCGAAAGCTAACACATTATAGCTTTTGCTTATTGTTTTTAAATCAATTGATAAAGGAAGAGAAAAATAATGAATCCAAATTTTAATTACTCTGTGCTGATGTTTTTCTACAGGATATTTTGGAAATGCATGACTTTCTCTATCTCTACAAAGTGTCTTAAATCACTAATTAAACTCGTTCATAGCTGTTATTCAAGAAATATCGATGAAGTTTTCATGAATTGTCTGATTCAACTTATATTATAACTCGATCTCCGATAGACTAACATCAATTCGGATATAAGTAGATGTCTATATGAGTCTCACAGTAACCGATTAGATAGGAATAGAAATAGGTCTAGTTTCACTTATATCTATACCCTGACACCTACACTCTCACTCTCCGGTTGACAGATATTTATTGTTAGCACACAAAGTGTGTAATCTTTCATAGTTATTGCAGTCTTTACTCAGAACTTTGTTCATTTATTAAAAATGCTATGTTGGAGGAAACATGATTATGTTATTATTGAAAGTATGAAAGCTGTACTCGGAAGTTTATCATAGAATAAAAGTAATTACAAAAAATTTTCAAGTCTATTTTTGCTTTCACATAGGACATGCTATTATGAGAAGATAAACTTATCTTCAGGGAAAGTACAGAAAAGATAGTTAAACAGTAAAGAACTCAAACAGTCTATTTAAGAAGATAAAAGGCCTCACTATAAGTAATCGGTTTAAATAGTTGTTCAATTTTTATTGAATTGAAGATTGAGAATGATCGTGCTGATGTGGTTATATATGATATTCATTTTGGCGAATGGTGCAGAAAATTTGTGAATCATACCATTTTCAGCCACGCTGCAACCGAAGTCTACTATACAGCTCTGCTTTCGGATCTATTTTCTATCAGTCTTATCAATCATGAATATGAAACAAGATTTTTCTTTCCTCGGCAAAGGATTTCGGCAGACTTTTTCATAATGGGATAGTATAGCTCAATAAGTGAACTACAAAAAAGCCAGCTGAATTGAGTTGCCCAACATTACGAGATAGACATATTGATATAAATATTTTGTCGTTCATTCTTCATAGTTGTCATAATGTTATTCTCTTTCTGGTAGAGAAGAGTCCGGTAAACAAAAATTGTCTGGTTGCTTCCTTGCTTGCTTGTATGTCCGGAGGGTAAAAAAACATCGAAAATCGATTTTTCAGGAAACACATTTCTAGGGATACTTCCATGTCGGCATTTCGAATCTGATGTTGGTTTTTCTATTAAAATTGTGTGTAAGTATGATAAATAAAATGCTGTGTTTAATCCGCAGCAATCTCATATTTAGTAATTAGTTTTCCGAAATGAATTTTGCAGTATCGCTTAATGACGTACTCTGTATAATAATTTTCCTCATTACATAAGTATTATACAAAATTAAAAACTAAACTGATATCATCTACTACCATCTATCAGATAACAAGACTGAGCTTCTATCCGATCTCTTACCCTTCGTACCCAACATGCCTGTACTTCGCACCGATAACATTGCGTGTGAACTAGGGCTTTCGAATGGTACACAAGGAATTTTTCGAGAGCTCATATACGATGATCAGGAGGAGCCAGGGAGTTTTAAGATAAAGAGCGATGTATTTCCCTCCAATACAATATACAAACGAAGACCATTATATGCACTCGTGGAAGTTAATACATCACAAGTAGAAACAAATCTTGATGGTCTTCCCCCCTAAACTAATTCCTATTCCATTAATCAAAAAGCGATTCACTGTTCCTACAAAGCAAATCTTCGGACATCGACTCGATCGAGTGCAAAGTGGAAGAAAAATCCCACAGGTAATTCAAGTTACACGAACCCAACTACCGCTTGTCCCTGCCTTCGCAATAACTACATATAAGGCACAAGGACTCACAATGAACAAAATTGTAGTCGATCTTAAAGTTCCACTTAAGCCATTGCAAGTGACGTCGGTATATGTACCCTCAGCAGAGTGAAGAGAGCGGAAGACATAGTCATTGTTCGATCTTTTGATATGAAGGCTCTACAAGTGCGACCTTCTCTTGCTCAAGACGCTGAACTGAAACGTTTAGATGAACTTGACAAAAAGACAAAGCGAGAGTGTGCCTCTTTCATTTCGTAAATATATGTAAATCGATACTTTGCTAAGAGTCTAGTTTCATGGTCGGTATATAAAACGTAATATAATTTGAAATTATCTTAAAGTAATTATTTATAAATGTTCATTTCCTTTATCTCTAATTACACTTATGTTAATTATTATATAATTGTCTGTTTTTCTGCCATTGTACCAGATATTGCCTATCGTGTTTTCTTTGTTTCGTTTTTTGATGTAACCATTCATAATCTTCCTAATAGTATTAGTACTTCTTCAAAATATTTAACCCTCTATTTAACATTTGGTATAAATATCTATTGTTGCTTTTGTAAAAAAATGTCCAATCTATGCTGGAAAGAAACTTATATACATAATAATGCATTAAAAATATAACATTCGAAAGCAAATTTCTACGAGAAAGAGCCAAGCGAGTCTAAAGCCTAGCGTTACTTGTATAATAAGGAATCTTTATTCGTACATAAAGAGAGAGAGAGAGAGAGAGAGAGAGAGAAATAGAAGAAGGAACAGGTAGACTAGAGCTATCTGACCACGCATATATAGAAAACCATGAAGATATATATATATATATACATGTGTGTGCAGAAAAGTCCAAGAACGAGAAAGAAAAATACATGATGGCGTCATCTACATGGACAATTTCGTACTACATCACAGTCATTGTGTTGATTTCGAACCTACACTGCTAGAGGGGCACGTTACGCGTACAAGCTGCTATGGACTAGTCAAGTGTCAAAACAGTTAGCAGCATATTATACGTTATAGCGTTTGCCCGGAAATTGCATCTATTTGGATGTAAGATGAATTTCCGAGAAATCCAAAAACCACATTCCAAAACAACTCTTCATAGTCGAAGTAGATATTCTAAACACAACACACAAAACTTTCAGTGAGGATGTGGCGAAGGATGATGAGGAATGCACCTCAGACATTCTTTCTTTTCAACAATAACTTCTACTCATGTTTATTCCTATAGCTATGAGCGCTTGAAGGGATATAATGAATTTGGTCTACCTCATGAGCTTTGGTAGTTTCCGTAGAGTTCGTATACCGAAGTTTCTGAAGTTCCCAGCATGGAAATTGGGAAATTCCACTAGACACTTATGAGGCAACGACTATTGGCGCTTATTTATCTTGTCAAGAGAAATAATGGCAAATTTGAATTCCCGGGAAAATCAAGGGGGAAAAAGCAGACTTCTGTACTTCGTTGTACTTCTTCGTACTTCTTTGTACTTCCTTGGACTTCTCCGTACTTCCTTGGACTTCTCTGTACTTCTTTGTACTTCTCTGCATCTCATGATAACTAAATTGGTATATATTATATAGGCTTATATCAAAAATTTCATCCCACAAACGAAACAAAATGATCTGATGTTATAGGTGATAAGAATTCTATCCCCAATAACAAGACACTTTTGTTCTATATTGTTAGCGTTTGTATGAATCATACAAAGTTAAACTAGAGATTAAGTTGGTCCTTCTAATCTAAATGGCTTATGACATCTGCCCGGATAGCAGAAGTTGTGGGTTTGAGTCCCACGAAGATCACTTTTTCTTCGTTCTTCTCTCTCTTCGCTCTCTTTCGCTGATGTCACCTTCTTTGCTCGAGTATGAAGCTAAAATATATTGGTGATAAAATGAAGAAGTACAAAACGTACTTCTTTGGACTTCAGTGGACTTCTTTGGACTTCAGTGGACTTCAGTGGACTTCTGGACTTCTGAAGTCCGAAGTCCTGCTTTTTCCCCCTTGGGGAAAATGCTATAACGCATCAAATCGAAAGTATAGGTACAACATATTTAATGAGCACATGTTTCAACGTCATATGCCGCATTGAAAAGTCTAATTAAGCATCATCTACATAAGTAGCATGCGCATCCTGCTCTGGGACGCAAAATGGTTCCCATTATTAATCAAATGTAAACCTCGTATTCTTATGGTACCTTCTTGATAGTCGCATGAAAGAGGATATTTTCCAAGATTAGAACAATCCATTTCACATACACGTCCTTCTGATCCAGATCGAGCAATTTCATTAATATTACGATCATTTCTCAAAATGTTGTCTGAAACATACATTGTCAATGGACTAGGCTATCGTTTCAACGAATTGAAATGATTGTTTTATTTTCAGTTTATGAGCACCATCGAAAAAACCAACAGATGAATCGAGTCCGGTGGTATCTATCCTGATTCCTGAGTTCTTTTCGAACTCGGTGCCTATCTCGTCGGGATCGGGATCTACTTATTTATTTCATATCGAAATATAACACTTTTTTTTGAAAATCTTTGTTATAACCATCAGTAAAAAATATTATTAGAAAGAAGTCGGATGTAGCGGAGAAAATAATTTCTATCTGCGTGATATAGATATGTATGGTTATATGAATTGAGTGTTAGATATATTATTCGCAGCTTACCATTCATTTGTTGTAGCTCGGAGAGCGAAAATTCAAGGGAAAAAGCAATCCACGCTCAAAGAGAAAGCAGTAAATATCGAAAGGGAAAGTGGTAGAAAAATCAAAGAGAACAGGACGTATTGACGCAGAAAATAGTGATTTTTCGTAGTTTTACAAGGAAAGATACTATTTGTTGTATCAAAAACACAGTAGATTTGCTTTTATAGAACACTTGGTGCGTCTGCTAAATGATAAAAAGGCTAATGCTCGTAAAACTCTGAGAGTGAGAAAGCCTGTATATGAGGAAAATATGAGGGAGGGAAATGACCTCACCCCCTCCTTCACCAGTCCGTTCTAATCCAATAGAATCAAATGTTAGAGGGCATAATGAGTGAAAAATGGTTTAATGAAAATTGATTTCGACTTGAAAGTTATTCGATTTATTTATTATTATACTTATCGAATAATTTCAATACTTTTATTTGTATATGATCGATATCAAGAAGACTCTTTATAAAAAAAATTCGTCTTACTCGATGACATATACTTCATTTCACGTATTAAACTAATGTTAATAGATGATAATTCAGATTAAAAAATTATTTAAATGAAAAATTTTTCGAATAATTATTTGATTGAAACGACATATTTCAAACTTGAGAGAAATAAGCAGACGAATCCAAATAAATATACTTCAGTAAAGAATACTACCAGTTAGTTCCGATCATATACAAAATAATACTGTTTCACGTGTGTAAATAGTTATGCTAACAGAATTCCTATTCACAGTTTCGAGTATTTCATTTTTCAGTAATTATCTGCAAGCTACCGTCAAATTGACGATATATCATTTTCTACTCATTGGCAGCGGTATGTTAAACTTATAGATTTCTGAATTTCAATCAAACCTTCTCTCTTCACTTTCTATTCAATTTACAGATTGAATATTATTTGAAATTGTGGTAATCTAATCATATTTCCATTTATCCGTTTGGTTATCAAAATCAATGATTGCTATACTTATCTTTATAATAAAAGATGTATATACTTTCACTTGAAATTAAAAAATGCGAAAACGGTCTACTCTATTATTTCAAATCGCATTAACAAAATATTTAATTTCATTTGTTCCACTCGAGTTTCCTGGTAAAACCAACGTTGTCAATATCTGTAAAGAAACTCGGTAAAAATGAAGATTACTGAAGAAAATCATATGATAATATCGTAATAATAATGGAGTCAAATGTTATATTTCTAACAGTCAATTTTGATTGAAGTTAAAATTTTTTGTCTGGCATATCCGCATAAAATAGACATGAATGACTTGTATATCGTTGCATTTTCTTGCAATGCAGCATCAAGCCATTGAGTTATTCTTTGGATTTAACAATAGAACTGAATTTATTATGACTATTGAAAAACTGATAAAACCATTTGCAAACGCGGCGAACCGAGAAGAAGAGATGTTTGGATATCAAAATTATTGAAAAAAAAATTTCTATCGACAGATGAACGTATATTATAGTAACAAAAGGAAAAAATGATTGATGAATAACACTTACTTTCAAATATTAGCACTCGAATAATTAGAAGTTTTTGTTTTTCTTGAAAGATATCGTATTATCTTATATGGATAAATTTATTTATAAATGGTGAGAAAAATATTCGACTATTTCAAAATAAAATAAATTAACAGCTTATAAATTTTTCTGAATATGAGGCATGTACGTATCTTCATTAGATGAAGTTCGCTGAAAATGAAAAGTTTGTTAATCGCATGAGAGTCAACTGTTGTCATTTCTAATTTCTCCTCAATACAATAAAATCGGGGAAAAGTATTTATTTCGGAGAAATCAATGATTAAACATAAATGAAAAGAAATAAGTAAAATATATAAGATGAGATTTTTCACAAAGTGAAAACTTTTCCGATATGTGATGATGTAAACTATTTCTATTGATAATCTATAAAAATTAGTCAATAATAGTCATGTTCGTTGGAAATCTTTTACACGTCGTCTGGTCGCCATGATGAAGTCATTGCAGTAATTTGAATATCTTTCACTGCTGGATAATCATTTTCGTTTGCAGTGTCATTTGGCTTTTGGAAAAGAAAGTTTAAAACGAGATATCGATTTACACCTCCAGCTGAAGATTGGGGACATCGAATCAACGATTGAAAATCATCTGAATTAGATGAATTGACAATAGGAGAAGTTGGTAAATCTAAAACAAATGTGAATACGTTTTTCCTCTTCAATCATTTGTCACTTTGTTGATATAGAAATTCACTTACTTTCAACGTAATGATAAGTAACCCAAAACCTGTTATAATCATATAATTGAGGAATAGAAAAACTTATATATTGACCTCGACGATATCGAAAAGAAAAGCAGTAAGAAATGGAATCAGGAAGAGAAACATTGAATTTTTCCGCAAAATCAATGATTTGTATCATCGATGCATCTTGATTCGTTGTAAACGAAGAAGATTTGACTTGAATTAATCCTGTGATATTCCATCCGAATGTTCCTTGTTTTCCATCACCATTAATAACATAATTTCTCTTTCCAGCAGATGTTCCATTGGGTAAAATTGGATTGTACATAATCAGTGCTTGAGCAATTTGTGCATCACTTATTGATGATTGACTTAAATTTGTTCGATCCAATTGAATATTAGCAACCGATGTTCGAGTCAAATCAGTTCGTTGTAATTGTGCATTTAAAAGTTTCACTCCATCAAGTATCGCATCGGTAAAATTTGCTCCAGTTAAAATTGTACCGGTGAAATCTGCATATGCTAAATTTGTATTGACAAATGATGAATTGATTAAAGAAGCATTTCGAAAGGAAATATATTGTAAATTTAAATTATCAAAATTCATGTTATCCATATTAATGTCTTTGAAATGTATTTCGAACCAAGTGGAATAACCACGAAGTGATTGTTCGCCGCGTTTTATAATTCCAATATCAAGTAAATATTGTAAAATGAGTATTTTCCTTCGCGAATCAATTCGGCGAAAAGCAGTTGCAATTAATCCACGTATAATTCCATAATGAAGTGAAGTTATTGAATCGGAAGTCATTTTTAGAAGAATATCGGATGTCGTTGTTACAAATTGAGTAAGAACAGTGTCATTTCCCGATTCAAATGATTGTTCTTCATCATTAAGACGATAAAGTCGAGCAATTTCTAAATCATTTTCTCGATTATGTTGATTAATCTTTGTGGAATTTTCCATAGAAATAATAGTTAAAATACCAATAATCAATGGAACCAAAACAACGAATACAAGTTGAAAAATATTTTTGATAGTTATACTTGTAAATCCGTGCCATCGTTGCCATTTTGTGAATTTTTCTTCAATAGTTTGGGTCGATTTTTCACTTGAATTTGTGTCCATTAGAAATAATATTACCTTCGAATCTTCGTTTTCGATTAATATATCGATTTAAATACTTCCGTTGTTACCTGTACGCAATAAATAGGGTTTTTTCCATAGACGACTTTTTTCTGTCCGCTCAGTTTTGTGTCTCTCACCATAGGTAGATTGATTTGATAATACACGAGGTATTTCATATTCACAAAAACAAATCAAATATATCTTTTTCGCAATTTATTATACAGAAAGAGAAAAAAAAAGATAATTTACGATTTATTCGATTGAAATGCTGTACTTTGATTGTTTGCAAATCAATCAGATTTTTTCTAACTTTTACGATCAAATAATGTGGGAAAATGATGATGATGTTTAAACTTACTTTGAAAATATTTTAATGAAAAGAATCGACATGTTCCGAATAAATTCATTGTCAGAATATAAAAAATTCGTAAATGAAAGTATGTAAGATTTACAAATGTTGATATTCTAACTTATGTACAATCTCCGCAAAGTAACACATTTGATCGAATAAAAAAAGAAACATTTGTTTATTTTAATCTCATCTTATTTTGAAACTTGAAGGTGAAGATGCGAATTTATAAACAAAGAAGAAAGTATAGAATTACGTTTTATTTGAAATAGTTTCGATTAATTTGTGTTTTTAACATACATTTGAAAAGATTGAGTAATTAATCATAACTAGTTGAAAACATAATGAAGATGTATTACAAGTAAAGAAATAATAGTTCATAGGATTTGTATATATGGGAGAAAAATTTTCTTTTTTTTTTGAAATTGTAAATTTTCAATTTATTTGATATAAAAACATTTAGAAATTATTATAAATATTATAATTTATATTTAATGTTCTTTTAAATGATTAAGAAGTTGTGTTTTTTTAAGAATTGTTATAAAGAAATGAATTTGATTTTCATCAAATAAATAATCAAAACATTGTTGTGTAACAAATTCGTGATATTTTATTGAAATTTCTTTACATGGAAAAGTTAAAATATTCGTTGAATATTTGATTTATAATTATTTATAATGTTCCAAATTGACTAAAATCGTTCGTTGAGTAAATGATGTTTAGAAAACTAATAGAATTCAAAATCAGAACAAAGACAATGAAATCAAAAGTTGAATAGAAAATTTATTTTTGAATTCTTTTTTCATTTGTTGAATAATTACGAAATCTATTTGAATAAATAACGCTCGTCAGTGGTGACTCGCATTACCCTCGACTGAAAATATCACAATATGCAATATATTATTATCAATTTGATATTTGTTTTTCTTTGTTTCAGTTAAGAAAAATACTTTCTAATATAAACTGTATTTATTTATTTCTATATGCAGTAAAGACACACTAATGATATAATG